CCCCTTGAACCTTGGACCCCCTTTCCACCCTGGCGTCTCCCTAGTTTCTGCCAATTTTCCATCACGCTCCCACTGTTTTTCAAACAGTTTCAGTTTCCGCCAAAAACTGCTGTCGAGAGAGAGTGAGGGGCATACATATAGCGCACCTCGGATAGAAAGAAAACCGAGAAAAGTCAATCACCGAAAGGCAACTACAATACCTCCAGCGACCAAATACGCTCCCACGCTGGGAACCCCTATCGTCCGAAGGGCCCTGCTTTCAGTACGGTTTGACATCAATGAGCTGGCAATGTGCAAGAGGACAACCGATGTACAAATCAGTGCTTTTACCCTCTAAACGAATTTGAAACCAGTCATACGGATCCGATAAGGTAGAGGATCAGGATCGCCGGGGTGGAACTTGATCCTCAGCTTTACCCCAGATCACGTGTCTGGTGGGCGACGCCCCTTACCACTGAACTGACTGCGCGTCAGTTCGTAAATGTAGGGTTAGAAACCTTTTGTTCAATTTCAAGTCACTGGTAGAGTCGTGATCGAGGATGGATGGTTTGAACTTCCCTGTAGATGGCAAATTACTGGGAGATCGTAGGGTTGGAATGCATTGCAGGAAGGACGTTGGATGCGCGGCGCGTTTCTAAAAGCGGTGGGACTGTGCTAAGCGTTTCTCCTACTTTGTGCTGACTTCTAAGAATTCGTTCATACATGTAGAAGGATGGAGAATCAAGTGGTCGGCAAGTCATCATTCCCTTAGATTTGCTCCGCGCAACCGACCTCTTCCTAAGGACCCTCTCTATTCAATATAGCCAAGTCGAATACGGTAGATTCAGCCAATGCCCGTTCCTGAATCGCCGCGCCTGACGCCACCAGATTACCCTGTAGGTAAAATTACTCTCCCATCCCCTGCGCTAACGCGGATGGTCGGATTGTGATGGGGTGCTAGAGCTATGCATCTGGTGTCTCTTTTATTACTGCGCTGGCTTGCCTGAAAATGTGTTGAACACTGGTAAATAGTAGAACACACATGGTTGTCTCAGAAGAATCAAGCCGTGACAAGTTTCAGTGAGACAGCACTAACTCTGCAGAAAACTCAACACTCTCCTTTCAGGTCCAAGCTCGGAGTCTGAGCCGCGATTCTGTTCTCGTGAAATGGTCTCCGAGTGAGAAGCCCAATGGTATCGTCATCAAATACCGTATCTTCTACACGAACAAAGATCGAGCGTCACCTGTAGCATATTGGCAAATGGTGAGAAGCTTTGTAATTCCTTTAGTTGTTTAGAACTACCGTATCTCATAAACTTCAGCACGAAACGAAGTCCGACGAATTGGTAGCGACATTATATGGCTTGGAAACGGACACACGTTATTTTATCGTTGTGCAAGCACGAAACGCTAAAGGTGACAGCAAAATGAGCGATGTGGCTACGGTTACTACCAAGCACGGAAGTGAGTACATAAATACATTTTATCCTTAATACCTTTTACCATTGGTTTGCCCATCAAACACTTCATATGGACCGAAAGTATTCTTCGGAACGCCCAGATTGGAGAATTTATTTCTCGTGACCCACTATGTATTGAATGGTAGTGCGAGAAGGCAGGGTCCAGGTCTACTGTAGGCAGCACAATAGCAGTTTTGGCAATAGAACCTGAACTGGTTACTCAAATCGACGCTTGTTGGCTGATTGAGGCCTAAGAGAGAAATCCCCTTTTTTACCGATTTTCTTTGT